TTTATCTCTAGTTTGATGAATAGGGATCCATTTTTAGAATCTGAGATTTAGAAATATTTTTTTAACATCACTAAGCTGTAGTAAAGGGCTACTTTTGTTTATTATGTAAACATTCTTTCATTTTAAGAAGAAACACTGATTTCTAACTGATGGCAAGGGTCAGAGGGAAAAGAATGACTAACTGGAATTATTTAGTAGAATTGTATGTATTTTATTTTACTTGGCAGAGTTTTTTTTTCTCTGAAAATTGAATGGTGGTTCACATTAGCTTTTACAGAAAATGGTATTTATGAATGGAATTGTGAAGGAGGTACACTGAAGGGAAAGATTTTTTTCTTGGCTGAATTACAATAAAGTAATACATAAATTATGAATGCCTTTAAGCTTTAAGAAAACCAAATGTTTTCTCTGTCCAAAATAATATATATGTCTTTATTTATAAACATTCATTCTACTGGTTAGATATGTGAAATACTAATAAACAGAAATATTGATTTTTAACATTGCAGTATGTCTGTCCATCCAAATCTGTAGAAGCCAAATGTCTACACACCTCTGTCTGCCCGTCTCCCATCCCCATTTCTCTACAGGCCAGGGGTGTCTGCGTATGTGTCTTCCTTCCTCTTAAATCCTGGCATAAGGAGGCCTAGCAACTACACCTGTTCTAAATGCAGGTCTGTCTTAGGGGAGCACATATGGCTTATATGTTTTTTATTTTATACATTCCCAGATGATAAACAGCATTAAATCTAGGGATAGGAGAAACTTGGCAAGATTGGATGGTGAGTCAAAACCTTGAACAACTTTAAAAATATTTTAAAACTTTTTCAAGAAGCTTATCAGTTTTTCAGTACTGCTTTCACAGTGAACAAAGGAGGATAATAAACTGATGTTATGTCTTCCATAATGTAATCTCCTGTGGAGTCTATGGGTCAGCCCACAGCTATGACAAGGACAGATAAGATGACTCTATTCTGTGTGTCAGCCATTTGTAACAAAAAGTTTACATAAATGAATTGTACTTTTCTTCTTATTAGATTGAGTTTATAAGAGGAAGAGGAACATTTTAGACATTTCAAAACTGAGTTGCTGATGAAGCCACAGATAGTTTTTCAAGGGTTCGGGGAAATCAGGCAATGTCTCATCTGTTGTTAATTAATGAAATGAAACTGGGGTCACTAGAGTACAGCAATGAATGAAAGGTCAGTGAATGGAAAAAACTGTCAATGAAGGAGGATGTTAGCAGAGTGGAACATTGTCATAGATAAAGATCAGGGAAAATGTGCCCTTTGGCTGAGGTAGTTTTTTCTGCAAGTGACTAGGAGCCATAGTTTGGGACATTTCAAGCCAGACTGAACACTAAATGAATGCTCTGATTTCAGCAAAATCTGTTAAATATTTTAAAGCTGTTCATGTTTGTGCTAGAGATTAGTTGAAAAATTTTGTAGAAAAAATTTCCTTTTGTTTTGTAATGTGGTTTATAATGTATTATTCCTGTGTTGTTTGTCTTTTGGGTTTTGTTTTGAAGCTGAATACCATTTTCCTCTCATTTATTTCTGTTCTCTGTCTTAGAATTTTCTAGAACCTTACTCATTTTTGCGATCCACTGATGTTAAAGTGATTTAGGATCACTGTACTGATTAATGATGGAGCTGGACCTTAAACAGCCCAGGCTGGCTGGCTCTCAATTTAGGACTGTTGCAAAATTGTATCTTCTCTGAGATGATCTGTGGAGGATGGCCGGAAAGTCATGAACTGATCATGAATAAACCAGTGACTATATTTGTTTCAACTAGTTCATCATGCAAAGTGCATTTAAAGAATCTTGTGTCTCTGATCATGTCAGACCTCCTCCCCTTTTTTCTCTGTCATTGAAGCTTTTGAACCTTATGGCTTTGGGGCAGCAAGGCTCTTCTGTCAGTTTGGAAGAGGCCTGTGGCCCTTTTTAGCCTGCTATTTAGACCTGGCAGGTCACTGCCGGTGAGAGGAGGATCCCATAAATATGCAGGTGTCCCCACATCCTAGAGAGAGCTAATCCCGTAGTATTTAAAGAAATGATATAGCACAGCAAATTGAGGGTACAGTCTCAACTCAGACTGCTGGGGCTCATGTCCTGTCTCTTCTAGTTAGTACCCTCTGTCTTTCTGAACCTCTATTTTTTAAATCTGTAAAATGGAAATAATAGTGCCTACCTTATAGGGTAGTTGTAAAGATTGAATAAATACTTGTAAACTGCTTAGAGCAATGCATGTCACATAGTAAATGTTCGATAATTCTCTGATTACTTGTATTATTTGAAAGTATGATTACTTATAAATTTAAAATGGAATTTTAGTTTCCTTGGATTATTTGGTTTCTCTTTTTTCTGAGAATATTTACTGGAATATTGTTTTGTTGGATTTAAATAAGAGAGACCATCCCATAAACTGGAGCCAGAATAGGAAAAAAAAAAAAAATGGAAACAGTTCTTTAGAGAAACACCAGAACTACAGAAGTTAATAGAAGTTAAAATTTAAACTAATATAGTTAAATTATAATTAAAATAGTGCCTTTCAGTTATTTTGTTGGTAGGTGTAAGATGGGCAAAGAATGATGAGACTTTTTAACATTTGTTGTTATAAGAACTACTTTGGGGGAAAAAACTTCACCTTAAATAACTGTGTTATGCAATTAGAGAGGCTGAAAAGGAACAAAACAGTAATAGAAACAAAATTGTAAATCCTGTACAGTGGCAATCATATACATGTGCCAGCATTGGCTGATCCCTTTTTTGAGATTGTCTGTGGGTTATACTTGTAGATGTAGGAATTCTGACTGCATTTCTGTAGTTGCAGTGGCCCTAGTATAGCATTTCCTTTAAATGTGAGTTCTGGTTATTTATAGATTTTAGGGGAGAAATGGGAGGGGAATTCCATGGTCAAATAAGTTTGGGAAACTTACTTGAGTTTAATAAAATTAAACTAGTTTCTTTGGAGATTCTTTTCAGAGTCCTTAATGTGCTGCTCTGACTCTTCCAGGGAGATATGATGTGCTGTATTTCTCTTACTTTTTGGACCAATATCTCATCTATCAGCTTCCTTCAGGACACCAGCACTCTGGAGCACACTTTGGGAAATATAATCTTAGAAGCATTGCTTTTTTCACTTTGTGTGTCTGGTGAATCCTAACAAGGTGTAGCTAAACAACTAGCTGCAGGTCAGGGGTGGAGAAAGGCCTCAACAGTTGAGGCTGCTTCTAAATGTATGATCACCTTGTTGAAATAATCATTACTGATGCCTGTAGAGTACTTACTATGTGTTGGGCACAAAGTACTTTAGATGTGTTAACTGATCCTTTCAACAATATGAGGTAGGTATGATCATTAGCCCTATTTATGGATGAGGAAACTAATAGCCAGAGGGCTTAAATAGCTTGCCTAAATCAGACAACTAGAAAGTGGTGAAGCTAGGATTTGGACTTGGTATATATAAGAGCCTGGTGCTCTACTTTCTCTGTTGTATAATCGTGGACTTGTATATGTGTGGTTTATATGTGATGTGTGCATGCACGGAGTGGGGTGGTGGTGGTGGTGGTGGTGGTGGTGGTATTCCTGGGTGGGAGAAGAGAATGAAAGTGTGAAATAAGTTTTGTATGGCTGAAGGTCATGGTTGGAAAAGGTAAGAAATGAAACCCTGGAAACGTGCAGGTAAAGATCTCGAGGACTTCGAGGATCTGTCACACAAAGGAATTTGGGGTTTCTATAATGGAACCACCTATTCTTTCCATCAGGTTACCTTAAGCACTTTAGCAAGCAAACTGCTTATGAGTAAAACAGTGCAGATACTTAGTCAGGCTGGAGGCTAACTTTTCTATTTTGCAGATGGTGTAGTTGTCACTGACTTCCCGCCATCCTAGCTTGCTGTATTATGGAACTTATACTGAGCAAACAGATACAGGAGTCCAGCAGATTATGCTTGAGTTGAACATAAATACAGGGACGAATAAGGGATGGCACTCCCTCTCAACACCCTGCACTTCTGCATTTTTGTTTGAGGGCATATTTTGTATATTTCTGGTAGTTGATTAAATACTGATAGAATGTAACTTAAAGAAATGGATTTATGGATCTCATAAATATTTATGAGACTTTTAGGGTCTTGTTTAAGGCTTGATTAAAGAGGTAAAATTGGGGCTGCCTTGTCTTCTAATAAGACTTTGACATGTTAATTATTTTTTAATTAAATAGTATTTAAAATATATAAGTGTTCTCTGTGATCCAAATCTCTTTGGTTCCTGAGTTTGAACTTAGTGAGTAGTGAGGCTTTGGATAGCAGGGCATTTATCTGGAACCCAGCGAAGACCTTATTCATTTTTTCTTTTCCCAGAGAAAGTAAGAGTGCCTCCTATGGCTAGATAGATTTCATTAAGAAGTAGCAAGATTGTGACTTAATGAAGGTCATGGAGCAGGTCATTGTAAGGACAAGAATAGGAGAAAACAGAATTTTTGTGAGTCAAGGAATCTTACCACAATGCCATCATGTAGCCTAACCAATTAGTGTCTGTCAGCACTTCTTTATAGTGCTCAGCAAAATGAACAGGAGACCCCAGAAGTCAGTGGTAATTATGGAAACCTTGTCAAATTGCCCAGGGAATCTCAAGAACTTGACATAGAGAATATTTGCAAGAGCTGAGTATGTTTTTGATACCTTTGCAATTAAAAAAAAAAAACAAAAACAAAACAAAGCAAAACCCTGTATAGTAGGAAGATTTAAACTTAAGAAAGAATTTTTTTCTTGATCAATTTTATCTTGAAGAAATACCATCTGGTCCCAGTTCACATTTCTTACATCCCCATTTTGTTTCTGTGAATAAATTGTCTTGCCTTGCTTACTTGCTACTTAGCTTAAATCCTCTTTACATTTCACAAAAAATAAAAAATAAAAATATTCACATGGAGGATGATGAGAGGGAAGCAAATGTTATCTGTGTGCATGGCATAATTTTATGCTATTTATTCTTAGGTGGATTTGCTGAGTTCTCCCGTTGTTTCCCTGGCCTTTGTGAAGGAAAATCCACTCTAGTTCCTACCTGCATTTCTCAGCCTTGCTTACCTGTTGCCAACATTGGGCCAACTCGAATTCTTCCCAATCTTTATCTTGGCTGCCAGCGAGACGTCCTCAACAAGGTGGGTGCTTTGAAAATATCCTTCACTGCAGGGTTTACTCTTAGCAGCTAGAGAAACAGCGATGCCCATTAGCTGTCATTTCAGACACACTGGGCTCCCAGAAAGAAAGTATACCATTCTCATTATGACTCCACTGGAGAGCAGTTGCATCATCTTTTGGAGAGCCGTTTTGTTTGATGTTAATGATTGCCATAGGAAACCTAAACTGTTATATTTGCTTGTTCCTCATAGGTCTAAGAGACTTGGAATAGGATAGGATTTTTCAGAATTTTAGTCTTATTTTCTTAGCGTATTCATTGTTCTACTATAATAATTGGACACACTCAGGACAGCTAATACTTCCTGACTTCACACAATTGTTGCAGCACGCTAGAAAGGGACTCAGGTTGAGCTTGGATCGAGGACGTCATGACCACTAGCTGGAGGGATGGGAGAAGGTGGTAAAAAGATGGTGAGGCCTAAGCCACATGGTCTGAGGCTTATTGGAGCAGTTTTGTTGAGAAAGAAGGAAGAGCATCGATTTTTGCTGGAAAGGACGTGGGCTGTACTAGACAAGATGTGTCCAGTAGAGGAACCCATGTCGATCAAGGCCACTGTCATAATGGTACAAGCATAACAACTGTAGTAGAACTAAAATTTGTCTGCCTCCATAGCTTATACGTTCTTAACCAGCAGTGCCAGAAAACAGTGCTGTCTGCAAAAGTGACTTTTTCTAAAACCTCTTATTTACATCATCTCTAATTTAAAAAGCAAAGATACTGATTCAGCTGTTGGTGATTTACAAGAATTGCTTTCCTATATGAAGGCAGTACCTTAACATTTTCTCCATGAAGAACTGAAAGAATTGGGCTGTCTATAAAATAAGCTTCGAGATTAGCTTGCTTTAGCAAGGGGAAAGCCAGGCTTTCCAGGAGGAAAATAATAACCAATTGGGCAGCAATGAAGCATTTTTTTTTTCTTTTTTGTTCTCAAAACTCCGGCCTCTTCAAAATTTTACCTCGACACTTGTTAATAAATCAGCTCTTCCACTGAGATCTGCCTGTTTGAAATTTGATAGCTTATGCATACACTTAGCGTTTCTGGTGAGGTCACAATGTCTTAAGCATGTGATGATTATTCTCTTCTAGAGATAAGCAAACTATGTCACAGAAAGCAAAATTAATTTCCTAAAGTCACATGCCTCCCTGGGGTAAAGCTGAAGATGCTTTATTTAATCTTCAGATCAGAAAATAAAATTCCTAGTTAGGGATCCTGTTTACAATTACCCCAGTAAAACTTAACCAGTCAGCCAGCAGGTAATTTCACAAGTAATTGTGCTACATATCATCTTAGTTACTTTGACATTAAATTAAATGGCAAGTTCATTTTGCTACATACCTTTTCCAGGTTTAACAAATATGTCAGTTAACAATTATGTGTGAGTGCTGGCAAGGTGAGAGCAGTTAAACTGGAACCTGGACTTGAGGACAGGGAAACAGTTTTCTTGTTTTAACTGGCTTTTATATATATACTAAACTGGATACATACATAGATGCATTGAGAGGAAATGGTTGTAGTGGGAAGAGTGAGTCTGAAAGTTCATGGGTGAAAAAACTTGGGCAAGTTGTTATGGAAGACTGTCAGAAAGCTGGTCAGTGGCAAAGATCAAACTCAGACCCAAGCTACTCTGGCTTTAAGTCCTGTGTTTATATAACACCAGAAATACTCATCTTCTGGAAAATGGAACTCGCTGTTATCAGGGACTGACAAATCTTAAGAGTCTATTGAATCACAACTAAGATTTTCTTTGCCTGGTTTTTCCATATCATGTTTTATTTCAGCACTGTCTAGTAGAAACATAATGCAAGCCACATCCATAATTTAAAAATTTCCAATAGCATTATTAAAAAAAGGAAAACAGAACAGGTGAAAATAATTTTAATAACATACCTGCAACATACCTGGATTATGATTTCAACATGCAAGCAAAATATATTGAAATAGTTAACTTTTTTTATGTAGTAAATCTTTGAAATCTGGTGTGTATTTTATAGTTACTGCATATCTCAGTGTGGACTAACCACATTTCAGGTGCTCAGTAGCCAGCCACATGTGGCTTTTGGCTACCAGATCAATACCCTCAGCATGTATTAATTCTTTCTTATGTTTCAAAGATATGGCTCCTCTCTAAAAGACCATAAGAAGTCATTGGTAAAAAAAGAATACTTTTGTTTTTCTTTTCCCTCACAACTGTACTTTTGTTTCTCACAATCTGTTCTTTCTCCGCTAGTCTTTGTACTAGAGTTGAAACAGGAACGGCTTTTTATATTAAAAGTAGTTTGCTGATGCCCAGTTCCCATCTGAACTGAGTAGGATTTGAGCAAGAATCTCTAGTTACTATGTGAAAGACAAAAGTTCTTGATCGTTTTTCTCCCTTATCACTTAAAATTTCAAATGAGGACTTTTGTTTCACACTTAATACATGAAATGTATGATGGAATTACTTACTATGAGTAGTTACTAAGCCAGAGCTGTATCTTCAGTAAAGCACTTCAGCCTCTTCACTAAAGCAGTTCTGCTGTCCTCTCTTTCCCCGTTTTAAACAATGTGTTGTCAATATTCTTTGTGTAGCTTCTGATTTCAGTATTTTACCATACAAAATTGCTTTCGCTATGCTACCTTATTGTTCCACCTGTTTTTTGTTTTTGTTTTTGTTTTTTTTTTTATGAGAGTTATGCAGTAGCCTAGATACAACATAGCCAAATACTGCTTTCAGGGTTTCCATATGACCCAGGAAGACAAATAGCATCAAAATTACTAGTAAAAACAGCATTTATTTAGTGTTCACTATGTATAGAATACTGTGCAGTGTGCACATTGGTTAGACAAGACCCGTTCACTAAACCATAATCCATAAGACAAGGTGATTGACACTGTAAGTCTCCATACCAAGGAAGCATGGCATAATGGCTGGGATCCAGCTTTGGAGGTGGGCAGTTTTGCATCCCAGGTCTCCACATTACCAGCCTTGTTACTCTAGCCAAGTTACTGAATCTTGCTTTCTTCACCTACAAACTAATGATTCCTGCCTCCTAGTGTTCATGTGAGGTTCAGATGGAATGGCCAGGCACCAAGTACAGTTCCTGGTTTATAGTCAGTATTGTCATCATGATGTAGATTATAGAAGTAGCAGGTAACAGGTGTGGTTGGTTAAGGACGGCTAGATGGAGGAAGTAGGACATAAAGTCAAATTTGAAGGCAAAAGGAGTGGCTTCAGAAAGAAAAATTACAATTATAATTCTGTTAACTAGAATTGCAGTACCCACGTGGTGATTTAATGGGATCTCTGTTATCAGCTTTGCTGAATATGGAGAACTTGTCCAACTAGAGCAATTTTATTAAGGGTATATGTTAATCTGTATTGTATATATTACTCTACAGTCTACATCAACATATTATAGATCCCATATTTATAAATTAGTCCAACTACAAGGGAAAGTTCATTTCATGGTTTAGGAGAAAAAACTTTTTAAAGGAAAAAAATAGCAAATGAAAATCATAATAAAATTAAGATTTATTTTTGACTCACAAATATTATTTTTGAAAGCTTTTAAATTGTATATTGAAACCAGGATTCATTTTTTAAAATTCTTAGGGGGTTATCTCTTCTGCTTTGCTACATAAACCCTTTTTTATATATCCAGTCTGCTGCATATGTACTTAATTACATTCAGTGTAATTAAGACCAATTAGGAGAAAGCACAATTGGAATTAGTGAAAAATATAAATTATAAGCTTATTTTGGAGGGGAGCAACAACTTTATTTTGGAGAGGGTGCAACAGCCTTATTGACTCATATACCATATGATTTATGAGCTTTTTTTAAATTGAGATATAACTGACATATAATATTGTATTAGTTTCAGGTGTACAATATAATGTATTGTGACATGATCACACCACAATAAGTCTAGTTAACATCCATTACCAGACATGGTTACAATTTCTTTTTTCTTGTGATGAGAAGTTTTAAGATCTACTCTCTCAGCCACTTTCAAATATTCAACACAGTATTATTAACTGTAGTCACCATGTTGTACATTACATCCCCGTGACTCATTTATTTCATAACTAGAAGTTTGTACCTTTTGGCCACCTTCATCCATCCCCCTCTTGCCTCTGGCAGCCACCAATCTGTTCTCTGTATCTACGAGTTTGGTTTTTTTGTTTATTCATTTTTTAGATTCCACATATGAAATAATATAGTATTTCTCTTTCTCTGTCTTATTTCACTTAGCATAATGCCCTCAAGGTCCAGCCATGTTGTCGTAAATGGCAAGGTTTCTTCTTTCTTATGGCTGAATAATATTCTATTGTATATGTATATACCACATTGTCTTTATCAATTCATCCATTGATGGACACTTAGATTGCTTCCATATCTTGATTTATAAATAATGCTGTAGTGCACATGGGGGTGTAGATTATCTTTTTGAGTTAGTGTTTTCATTTCCTTCAGATAAATATCTCGAAATATAATTGCTGTATCATGTAGTAGTTCTGTTTTTTTATTTTTTGAGGAACCTCTATACTGTTCCTCATAATGGCTGCACCAATTGGTATTCCCATGAGCTGTTCTTAAGATAAAGTAAGGGCACTAACATTTAATGAGACTCTTATGTGCCAGTCACTTTATCTTTATAATAGCCTTACAAAATACACACTATTAGCCCTATATTACAGGTGAAGAAACTAAAGCTGAGGAAGGTTTGGTAACCTGCCCAAGATCATTCAGGTAATGAACAGTAACATGCTAAGCTATGCTCTGGTTTTTCTGGGGCCAGTATCCATGTACTGCTCATTATTCCATGCCACAATGAGCTTATCCACAGTAACAGGAGGGAATGTAGAGTATATCAGTACATATGCTGGTAAATGTGGTAGAAGTTGATCAAACTTTGCTTCTAAATTGTTTCAATTTTTTTCAGTGTGGTGAGAAACAAGATCATTCATCATCTGAGAGTTAAGATAAAAAGGGGACATATGGAGAGGGTTTGAGGGAAAAGAGAAATGGTTGGAATGGCATCTCAAAGAAAGGAAAAGTGAACCAGACTAGGGAAATAGAATGATTGCTGAGGAGCAATGAGTTAAAAGTGGGATCCAGCAGCATTGTTGAGTGTTTTCTTCTAGGTGTGTTCAGCTGCATGGATGAAGATGCAGACTGCCTGGTTAGATTTAACCAGAGTTGTAATCTTGCCAAGTGAGTATGAAGAAGCAGTAGTGGGGTGTAGGAATTAAGTGTGAAAGCAACAGAGTGATTATAGTGATTGACCGCAGAATCTTAAGTTGGAGAAGAAAGGAAGACAGACATCATGAGGATGAAGGACAAGGAAAAGGGGGTGGGATCAACAGATTATAGGTCCTGGGGAGATTGAAGGGTTCCAGGAGTAGTGAGATAAAGAGAGAGCAAGCTGGAAAGAGAGGAGGACTTCAAGAGTGGGTTGGGTGAGGTCGAGATTAGAGAGGGGTTGTGGTTGTTGGTAATGGCAGGGACCAGACTGAGTCTCATGGGAGTGAGTGGTTAAGGTGAAGAGTTCAAAGAATTAAGAGGACACAATGTTGGAAGGATATTTGAAGGCCAGAGAAGAAAGATTATTTTATCAGTAGAAAGTATGTATTAGCAGACTTAGCACAAAGTTGAGCTAAATATTAAACAATGTAAGATGACTGCTCTCTGGAAGCTTAAAGATTATGATGTTTAATTATGGAACAGTAATGTACAGTTGTGTATGTTTTATACAACATACTGAAACAAACCTGAATGAATTATGTAAATATCTTAATAATTTGGTAAGAAGTCATTGACATCCATCTTGAATAAAAGCAGTTCTGTGAAACAGTCAGACCCATTCTTCATAATTGTAATTCTGTTATAGTTCCATTGTCAGAAATGTTGACATATGATGCCCTCTCAGCCACTTATTTGTACATTCATAAAAATAAACAGGAGAGCAAGTTAATAGTTATATGAAACTTCAGCAGAAACTTTGACTTCAGAGATACATCCCCCCCATGCCCTCAGCAGGGGAACACCTGCCTCGTGCTGAGCAGCGACAGGCGCCTCACCATATAGCTCGTCTCCTTCCACCATCACCAGGAGGCAATTGTGTTTGTTCTCAAACCTGTTTAGACCAGTGTACTTGTTATAATTATATACGTTAATTAAAACATCACATACACCGGTGAAATATGAATGAGGGAAGAGAGTCGTTTTTCTGAGACCTAAGTTAAATGTTTTCAAAAGATTCAGGAAGGACAAATGGCTTTACATTTTTTTTTCCTAAAGTAAGTGGGAGGAAAGCAACTGTAAAATAGGAGACAGTCATAATCTAGGATTCTGTACTGATATTATTTTACCAGTTCTTGGCCTTTAAAGGAATGGGAACTAAGTAGTAGATGCATTTGGTTATGATTTACTTAAGAATTCTTTTCAGCTAACCTATAAAAATAAAAGCCATGGTCCTGCATCAGAAGTTAGTGAATTAATGTACACTTATTTGCTGAGTTAAAATAAAATGTTTCAAGTCCATATGTATCATTTTTAATGGTTTTCTCCTTTGACTTTTTTCACTGATGTAGTAATTACCAATCCAGGTGAGCGGGTACTTATTTATGGTATTTAATTTAATAGCCAAATTATATTTAAATTTTACATGGTTACTTTTTAGGATTTTTGTTTGCTTTTTTGTTTTTAAAATTGTCCATGTTTTATTTATCAAGTCCCATTTTATTAAGAAAAGAATTTCAGGTAGCATCTGGATAATCGATTTAATAAATTTTTAAGTAAAATTTTTATAAATCAAGTTATATTTACTATTGAAGTTATTCTTTTTTTCTCATTTCATGTTTAAATTATTATCGCTCAATTTTAACACATTAACGTCTTTTTCCCCGGCCCTCCTGCCCTCTTTTGCCAGTTATCTAAAATAAAGTTACTAGTTAAATGTATCTTTTATAGCACATTGTTTTATAAGTGAAGAACACTTTTGAGATAAAAACAGCATTGTAAGTTTAGATTATTGATGTTTCTTTGAAGAGGTCAGAATGGCCCCTTTGTCATGTTTCCTCTCCATCCAGCTATAGAAGTGCTGTTGCAGTTTGGTGATTGGCAGCAGTCAGGTGAGGGCAGTGAACATGCATATAGGTAACCAGTCCTCAAACTGTCACAGCAGATACCAATATAAACATGGCAGAAAGACCAGCACTGTGAGGCCTACACCTGCAATTGAGGCAACAGTAGGGGAATAAAGAGGGTGAATACGACTTGGATGAATCTCAGATGCTTATCTGGTGTCCTGAATCACTCCAAAGTCTCAAGTCCACGAGCAGCATGGTGTTCCTTTACTTTCTAAGTTATAGTTAAAATGAGTAAAAAAGAAATTAAAACTTTTAATACTTCTTTTAGTTAAAAAAAAAGTTTGCGTAGGCTAGTTATTTTATTGCTCCATCGAATTTGTTTTAAAAAGAACTTCAGTAGAATATAGCAATTAAGAGGACAGATTCTGGAGATAAGTGTACCTGGATTTGAATTTTGACTCTACCACTTGGTAGCTGTGTAACTTTGGAAACATTATGTAACCTCTCTAAGCCTCAGTTTGCTCATTTTAAAAATGAAGATAATACCCAAGTCAAAGGCTGGTTGTGAGTATTAAATGTGGTAGTCCATTTAAATGCTAAGCACGGTACCTGGCACATAGAAGTCATTCATTAAATGTTAGATATTATTTTATTACCGTGTACCATGTGCCATAATAGTTTATTATTAATAGGCCTCTAGCAAAAAGGTGTCCAACAGATTTTTTAAATTTAATTTAGGTTAAGTGACAATTTCTACAAAATGTAGGTTTTTTAATAGGCTACTTATCAGAAGTGTACATTGTTATGTTCTCTGTGGGGAAATGAGATCGGAATAGTCATTGACTTTTGTTCTGTCCTTAGAATTCTTGTTGTCTTCTGAATGTATGTAGGAGGTAACACTGTTAGTATTGACCCTTTTCTCAGAAATTTTTATGTCTTTATTATTGAAGTGGAAAGCAATGTTACTACTTCTTTTAATTTAATAAATCTTCATAGTACTATTAAAAGAAAGGGGAAAGAAAGATAAAACGCTTCCTTTCTTTAAGGATCATTGGTGAGAAAGGCTTGAAAGGCCTTTACCTTCTGACTGACCCATTTCTGTTCTTACATGAGGGATACTGTTGTTGATCAGACGGTAGTAGGTGATCCCAGTGTAGAAAAACAGATGTGACCTTGGCTCCATGTACAAAAGTTTAAAAGCTGTAGTAGTAAACACCATTAAGATCTTCACAGCCTGATTATTAACCTAATGAGACCATCAGAAGACTGGGGCACAGCTGAAGGTCAGTCACTCTTAAGAAGCTTGCCTAGTTCCAAAAGCTGTTTCTTGACATTGTCATCTCACAGTTGAGAGAGACGATTGCATATGTGATCTAGATTTATTAAGTATACCTTTTATGTGAAATAAAATATATTTGTTGTGCCAAATGTGATAAATGAAGGGATTAGGGAATTGGCTTGTTTTGGAAAGGTAAAATAAGAAGAAAATTACCTGCTGCCTTTCAGGTAGTTGGAAAAGATTTGTAGAGGAAGTAGCATTCCAAGAAAAGGAAGAAGTGACCAGAGTTGCTTAGAATTGTTTCAGGCTTAGAACATTTCCTGAGAGGCAGCAATGGATGACTAAATAAAGCAGAGTTGTATAGGCTCGCCTGGAAAATGGCAGATGGGGTGTCATTTGAACAAACATTTATTGAATGCAGCTATGTACCTGGTGTGACTGTAGAAAAAACAAGCAAGAATCAGTCCAAGATCTCACTAGTTTCCTATGTAGTAGGAGAGGCAAGAATTATCTGTTAAGTGTAACAGTATGCCGGGTGCTTTACTAATAGTGAGAACAACGTACTTTGAAAGGACAGAATGGAATGACTGATTATGCATCAGTGGGAAGGAGTTCATAGCAAGGTTAATTTAAACAAAGTAGGAAGAGTGGAAGAGAGTCCTCAGAAAGAGGAACAGGGCCTGCTAAGGACAGGAACGGTGCTCACAGCAGCACTGAAGGGTTAGGTGTTCATGTGATGTTGGATTTGGAGGTTGTATGAGACAGGAGCAGGCGATGAGACATGATGAAATTAAAAGTAGATAAAGCACTTACTCGGTGTTAATGATAAGAAAGATCATTCTAGTTTTTGTTCAGTATATGGTTTGGAGAGGAAAATGCTGCAAACTTCAGGAGCTCCCTGGTGGCTTTTATGTTATGCTGAGGGCTGACCACTGAGTAGCTGTGGCTGGGAATAGGAAGGAGGATAAATGGGAAAGGTGGTACAGAAGGGATTTGGCAACTTTTTGGATATGGGGGCCATGAGAAAGAGAAATGAAATGGTCCTGTTTTCTAGTCAAGTGTCTGGGGGGATATTATTACCATAAAACAATTTTGGATTATAGAGAAGAAACAAGAATTAGGGTAGAGAAGGGAGAAAGGTAATGTATTGAGTTTCTGACATTTTGAGTTTGAAGGACCTCAGGACTATATTCTAAAGGCATAGTAAACTGTCATGGTTTTATTTTACATTCTTTGTTCCACTTCTCTCTCTAGTAATGAATAGAGAGTTGACTATATTAATGATATGTGATCTCCAAGCATGGTATTTTAAACAGCCTTTTTTGCCCTTAAAAAAAGTCTATTTTTAACTTGTCTTTAAATGTCATTGTGCTAGGTGTTTGGAATTCACCAATAGAATGAACTCCGAGTATTTCAGGGAATCTAGTAATTTTTATCATTATGTTAAACTTTACTCTTTCAGAATGATCGTGCTAGTATGTTATTAGTCATTTTAATTGCTCTTTTCCTACATAGGAGCTGATGCAACAGAATGGGATTGGTTATGTGTTAAATGCCAGCAATACCTGCCCAAAGCCTGACTTCATCCCTGAGTCTCACTTCCTGCGAGTGCCTGTGAATGATAGCTTCTGTGAGAAAATCTTGCCATGGTTGGACAAATCTGTAGATTTCATTGGTAAGTAGCTCAAGTAATGTCACAAGCTCTTTGGGTTATAGTTTCATTTATGGGTGTGCCCCCTGCCTCCGTTCCCTTTTTATTTTTTTTAGAGAAAAGGAGCCTATTTCCGAGATTTCAAACATCTGAAAACAATACATGATGCTGCTTATCTCTGTTAGTGGCCAAGGTGATGTGTATGTGCCATGCTCTCCCTAAGGGACTGGTCTTGTGACATTCTAGCTAACCTGACGCTACCAGGGTTAAGCCTAATGGGATCTGTGATTATGTATTTGCCAGTATTTGAAAATCAGTTAAACTTTTGGGGTTAAATTTCTCACCTACTTTTTCAAATCCTATAAAAGACTTTTGGAAACTTTGGAGGCATTCCTTAAACTGTTTTTGCCTTGCTGCTATGTTTTCCCCAGAGAAAAGTCAAATCCTGTGAAAACAAATCCCCTTACATTTAAAGTCTTTATGTCACAAGATTTCTAAGCCTCAGTCCATGTGCCAATAATTTCAAGTAGTATTGGAGCTAATAAAATTCCATCAAACACACACACACACACACACACTCACTCTCTCGCTCGCGCTTGCTCTCGCTCTCTCGCTCTCTCTCTCGCTCTCTCGCTCATTTCCTTGGCATTGGTTGTGACAAGATCTGATCAGTACCAGTTTGCCAGTCCTGGAACTCCTCTACCCCACAACCCGACTCGTGGCGTCGGTGCTGTTGTGCCATTTTGGTGCTGCAGGATAGGCCTGCCGGTAGCAAATTGGTGCCCTGTATTTGCAATGTGGTTTTAGTGGAGAGCGGTGAACAGAGGAGAAACGTTGCTAGCTCTTGAGCAGCATCACCAGGTTGACTATTGATATTCTATATGGGGAGTTTTTGTTTTTCTTTTTCCCCAGAGGCACATAAATTTGAGTACAAAGAACTGATTCATTTTTAAAAAGTGAGATTGTGTAAATTAAGTCCCTCACTGTATATACTTCGTGAGAGAAATATTTGAGATAATGCTTTTGGAACTTTGGGTAATTTCTGAAAAAGGTTCTCTTTTTTCAAGATTCCAGATTCTCAGAGTTTTCATCTTTAGTTAGGATGCATTTGTGAAACATCTGGAGATAAATGGCTTAAATAATTTATATTAATCACAAACAAAACTCAGAATTAATCTTCCTCCATTGTGCTTCTAGGAAATATTCAGCATATCATTCAGTTTTTTGCCTCTTTAAAAGATAATAGTTATGATCAGTGTTCTCATTGCTTGTCATTTCTATCCAGAGACATTCGGCTCTAATTTTAGCTAAAAGAGTGACTTCAGAATCTGTTTAAGAGAACCCGATTTTGTTAAGTCATGACAATGTCTAAGCTTTGGGCGAGTTAATAGAAAAAAGAGACTATGAATAACTTTGCCCTTAACTTATTTTCTTTCTTGGGAGAGGTTGGGGTTGTCCTGCCACTTTTAATTCATATAAAAGGAACTTTACCATGTTCCAAATTGGTTGAATATACACAAATACATATAATTTATTTGTAGTATCTGAAAATATTTTTAATTACCAGTATTTCACTTACTTGGCCCTATTTACAAGGGTCACCATCCTTATCCCATCCAATAATTCAGGGCAAAATCTCCAGTCCACTTTTGGAGTCAGCCTTTGTTCATTACAGCTGCTAATCTTCTCCAGGGTGTTTTAAGCCATGTTTGGTCATGGCAGAGCATATAATTTGAAGATGTAGTCTTATACCATACTTAATAACTTATAGACTCATAGGTGTATTTTCACAGCAGTAAGCACGGTTTGCCTGTCTGTGCTATGGGTCACTCATGAAGTGCCCCCGATCCTAGCTGGCTGCTTATATGGCCTTCTGCCCCACCTCACCCACACCAAACTCATGACTTTGCATGAGGGAGGTAATTAAGAGCATGTACTTTGGAGCCAAACTGTATTTGAGTCCTGCCTCCCTTGGTTATTAGTTAAGTGAGTTTAACTAAGTTACTTAAAACTTCTTTGTTCCTTCCCTTGGTAACTGAAGATAATATATCTACCTCATAGGAATATCGTGAGGATTAAAACAGATAATATAGGTAGACTATCTTGTGAAGTGTCCACCTTATAATTGACTCTTAATACATAGCTGTTTTAAAAATTATCTGAGGTGGTTTTTTTTTTTCCTCTTAGAGCTATACTCTGTAACTTCAGTTATTACTTTACTTCCTCACTGGCTCCCCCTAACCCCTTATAGCTTATCCTCTCACTCTCTTTTAACCTAGATTTTCTTCCTGAATTACTGTGGTGATAACCTGCTTTTTTTTTTTTCCCCTAGTTTTCGCCATCAGTGCCTTCTTGTTTCTTATTCAGGAAACTGAAGAGGCTCCTTAATTGTTTTCACGTCTTTAGCCTAACATACCCAGACCCTTCAGCACTTGCTTCCCACCTATGAAACCTTTCTGGTTACTTCCTGCACACTGCATGAGTACCAGCCAACACAGACTATTTTCTGAGCAGTTTGTCACCATAGAGCTTTCTTGCACACAACAGTTCCCTTCTCTTCTCTGCCAGGTCTGTGTATATTACTTCTTTGCTTTAACACTCAGTTTAGCACTCATTTTTGCCAAGAAATATGTTCTAATGAACCCTATTCCAGTATAATAACTTTTTAATTAGATTTTTTAAACACATCATCAAAAGAGCTGTAATTGTAAAAACAATATACGTAAAATGTAGAAAATTTGGAAAACAGTGAAAAGGAAACCTGTAACCTCAACATCCTAACACATCTGTTATCATTGTTTTTTATTTCCTTCCAACTCTTTTTATTATAAAGATTGCTTTTTAAAATATGTATCAGCTAGCCAGTATTTACTGGGTATATACTGTGTGACCAGTGTTAAACCCTTTGAGGGAAATGTTAGAAGCAAGATCCTTATTGGTCCTTATAACCTAGTTTTGAGATAATTATTTAAAATAATAAGAATATTATCAACATTTTTAAAAATTTTAAACCCAACCTATTTCCAATAAGAATTTGAAGCAGCTTACAGTAAGAGATTAAGATCAAAAAGTACACATATTCACACACATACACATTACAATGGGATAAAAAGGCTAGGAAAGGTACAATAAAATCTGAACTACAATTGCCTATTGTAATTGAGTGAAAACCTTAGCTTTGAGCTTCTTAGCAGCCAAGGCAAAAGAGGAAATACTAAGAGTGGTATAGGCTAAATATTGCGTAGCTGAGAGAAGGAAGAGAACTGTGTAGACCCAGGTAGGCATGGGATATGATGTACATGAGTTCATATAAGAATATGTTGTATAGTACTTATTTGTTTCAGTGTTACTTTGTATTCCTTTGTTTTATTGTTTGATTTCCCTATCTAAAGGAAAGCTATATATACTTGTATATATAGTATATATACTGGTGTTTTGTACATAATGAATAATTAATCATATACATTAGAAATTTGTAACATTTATAATAGAGGTGGTGAGATCAGAGTAGCCTGGTATTATTCAGCTGCCAGAGCAGATTCCCTGGATATCTGTTAATTACAAGAATATTAATGTTAAGATCTGGTAAACTTTTGGTAGTATCAACTAAAACAAGAATGAAAAGGGAAGAATCTAGCTCCATGGTAGGTAACATGAGGCAGTCATAGTACTGGTTAAAATGTTAGTTGCTTCCAGGCTGTGTGGAATAACTTCATCCACTCACACAAGAAAGCTTTTAAAGTTCCTCAACAGTGAGAGATGGCAGCAAAGTTTGTTGAATGTTCTTGGTTCTAACAAAATGTCCACAAGTCCTTCTACCATGTAATGGGGAATCAACATGATGTAATCAGACCATCACTGCTGAATATCAGTGAGTTCCCTTGGTCTTCATTAAAGTGACCTGCTAAACCTGATTTGTAGTATATACGTGGTTTTCTTCTTAAATTCAGCAAATGAAGTTGAGCCACTTTATGATATACAGAAAAGTTTCCTAAAGAAAAATAGGGAAACTATATGTTCTGTGGATCAGTATTTTAAAGAAGCTGGAGCTGGCATCTCTTTGTGTTGTGATACCATTGTGATTAAGTCTCTCTTCCTCCCTTCCTCCTTGCTATTTAAATGGTAATGTATGTCAGATATGTTTGAAATGAAAAATATTTGTAAAAATTTAATATCTTTTACATATATCAAATTATATTATACATCTAAAAGTAATACAATATTATATGTCAATATCTCAAAACTGGAAAAAAATTTAACGTGTCTTACATAGCTAGAAAAAAGGTGAGGTGTCAGACAACATGGATAAACAGTATTAGCTAAATATTAAAATTTTGGATGTTATTTTCTTTATACTTTTTCTGTATTAGATTTTCTACACTAAACAAGTAGAATCATGTAATCATAATGTAGGATTTATATGCAGGGAAAGCTATTAAAAATAACAAATGTAAAAAATACCCGGTGAGTCTACAGCCATGCTATCCTGAACACACCCGATCCTGTCCAGTCTCAGAAGCTAAGCAGGGTCGGGCCTGATCCGTACTTGGATGGGAGACTACCTAGGAAGACCAAGTGCTATAGGTGTAAAAATTAAATAAATAAAATAAAAATAAAATAAAATAAAAAGAACATTAAAAAAAAATACCCGGTGAAAAGCACTGAATAAAAGTCAGTCACCCTGAGTTACAGACAAGTTGCTTATTAACACATTTGGACTTTCACTGTCCTGTATGTAAATGGTGGGGAAATCATCTTCCCCTGCCTCCTTAAAAGAATATTGAAAGGATGTATCTGTAAATAGATGAGATGTACTTTGAATTGTCAGATGAAAGACAGTGGCTAAATAAATGGAAACAAGATTTCACTGCTGGACATAATTGTTATCAGTGACCCTTCTTGAATTTGACTCATACAGAGAAAGCAAAGGCCTCCAATGGATGTGTCCTGGTGCACTGTTTGGCTGGGATCTCTCGCTCCGCCACCATTGCTATTGCCTACATCATGAAGAGGATGGACATGTCCTTAGATGAAGCTTACAGGTGAGGACAGGAACATGTCCTATGTAGAAGGCATTTTTATAATTTAGCATTAATTCTACCCTGACGTATCAGATTCATCCTCAGCTGCCACAAACTGATCTCTGTCCTATTACATGAGTTTATACCTTTCTCTGATTGGGGAAGTATCATTTGTTCTAATTTACATGTGAGAAAAACTCCAGAATACATTTCTACTCTGCCTCAAACTTTGTCTCTTTCACTGTGAAAAAAAAAAAGCCTGATATATACAAGTATAAAACCTAATGATTGTCAAATTCCATTCATTGAGTAAAATTTCCTATATCCTAGAGTTGCCCAGATTTTGCAGTATATAATTTTGACTGAGATCCGCCACCTCCCCAACCCCCCCCCAAAAAAAAAAAAAAAACACATAGAGGCAAGCAAGTGACAATAGCACCAAGGACTGGGGTTTTGTTTAGTGACTGGAGAATCTGAGTCTTCTGCATGTCTTGTTGGATAGAGGTGGTTAGGTTTCATGTGATTAGGAATCAGTAAATATAGATGCATGGAGCTGGCCTGTTCTTGGACTTTTTTCCAATTGGACAGTTTAGAAAAAAGAAACGAACTGCCTGAACACTTTCAGTTGGAAGGAGATGGAGATAGGTCCTCCATTTATCTCATCAGCTCCCTAATCCTCCATTCAAGCTTTTCTCCGTTAAGGTCCTCCTGTGTCATTTAGAAACAAAATCAGAAGAAAAGGCAGCCATGTATCATGTACAGAGTCTTACGAGGACCCTGTGTTTATACTTGTTGTAGTTGAGCCAGTTATTTCTGGCTTTGTTAATTTGCTTTAGGTTACTTGATTTACAAGTTTATTTTTGATTTTTCTCTTATTCAAATATAATTTTTCAGTGTAGTTTCACTCCTGCATCTTCTGAGGAGTGTCTGTGAGGGCCAGGGGCCACTAAAGAATTTATCTGCTCTCTCTCAAGAGTCTAGTTCCACAGTGAAACATGAAAGCTATTTATTTCTAGTTTTGATCCTTCGATGAATCCTTCTTTACCATGGTGGTGACAAAAAAGGAGCTGAGACCTAATTTGGAATCCCAGTGCCATCACTTAGTAGCTATGTGATTTGGGGAAAGTAACTTAAGGACTTTACTTATATGCTGGGGATAATTACAACCACCTTATATAAGGTGGTTTTAAGGATTGAAGAAGATAAAACTCTTTTAACTCGATTTAACATATTAGCATAGTGCTAGGCACATGAGAGACCACTGTGTAGCTGGTTGTGTTGTCATATTAAGTTTGTACAAAGAGAATAATCCAGAAATGTATGCTTTGATGCTCTGGCCATCTGATACTCTTTTATGGACATTAATTAAAAATGTGAATTGTCTTGAGGAAATGACTTCGGGGACTTTGAGAAGGCTTTGATATTGTGAAATTGAAGCTGTACTTACTGATGGTAGCACCAGTGGGGAAGTTTCTGGTAAGGAAGGAACCATCTCTTATCAATTGCACTGGAAGCTTTGAGTCCTTCAAAATAAGGAGGCTTAAAACTAGAGCTTTGGGGAACTTGGCACCCCCCTTTCTAGCATATTCCAAAGACATGCTATAAAGCACCCCAATGCAGAGGCCCTTCTGTTCTCCACCTTGAGGTATATCTGATTAAAACAATCTTCCAAAGGTATTACTTGGTATGCCTAATAATTCCTATCTATCTCATTTGTTCACTTAACATTCTTAAGATAAAGTATAGCCATAAAATTCAAGTCTTTTTGTTTTTCTTCTCTTCATAGATTTGTGAAAGAAAAAAGACCTACTATATCTCCAAACTTCAATTTTCTGGGCCAGCTGCTGGACTATGAGAAGAAGATTAAGAACCAGACTGGAGCATCAGGGCCAAAGAGCAAACTCAAGCTGCTGCACTTGGAGAAGCCAAATGAACCTGTCCCTGCAGTCTCAGAGGGTGGACAGAAAAGCGAGATGTCCCTCAGTCCACCCTGTGCCAACTCTGCTACCTCAGAGGCAGCAGGGCAAAGGCCTGTGCATGCTGCCAGTGTGCCCAGCGTTCAGCCATCACTGTTAGAGGACAGCCCACTGGTACAGGCGCTCAACGGGCTCCACCTGTCCTCAGACAAGCTGGAAGACAGCAATAAGCTCAAGCGTTCCTTCTCTCTGGACATCAAATCAGTTTCGTACTCGGCCAGTATGGCAGCATCCTTGCATGGTTTCTCATCAGAAGATGCTCTGGACTACTACAAACCTTCCACGACTCTGGATGGGCCCAACAAGCTATGCCAGTTCTCTCCGGTTGAGGAAGTATCAGAGCAGACTCCAGAAACCAGCCCAGATAAGGAGGAAGTCACCATCCCTAAGAAGCCTCAGACTACCAGGCCTTCAGACAGCCAGAACAAGCGATTACATTCAGTAAGAACCAGCAACAGTGGTGCCACCCAAAGGTCCCTCTTATCTCCACTGCATCGAAGTGGGAGTGTGGAGGACAACTACCATACCAACTTCCTTTTTGGCCTTTCCACCAGCCAGCAACACCTCGCAAAGTCTGCCGCTGGGCTGGGGCTCAAGGGCTGGCACTCAGATATCTTGGCTCCCCAGACCTCCACCCCTTCCTTGACCAATAGCTGGTATTTTGCCACGGAGTCCTCTCACTTCTACTCCGCCTCAGCCATCTACGGAGGCAATGCCAGTTACTCTGCCTATAGCTGTAGCCAACTGCCCACTTGCAGTGACCAGCTCTATTCTGTGCGCAGACGGCAGAAGCCAAGTGACAGAGCTGACTCCCGGCGGAGCTGGCATGAAGAGAGCCCCTTTGAAAAGCAGTTTAAACGCAGAAGCTGCCAGATGGAATTTGGAGAGAGCATCATGTCAGAGAACAGATCGCGGGAAGAACTGGGGAAAGTGGGTAGCCAGTCTAGCTTTTCAGGCAGCATGGAGATCATTGAGGTCTCCTGAGAAGAAAGACACTTGTGACTTCTATTGAGTTTTTTTCTCATTCACAAAAAAATATTCCCTGTAAATCTGAAATATATATATGTACATACATATATATTTTGGAAAATGGAGCTATGGTGTAAAAGCAAAGATGGATCAACACAGTTGTTCTCAACATCTGCATTTGAGAGATCAGCTCGTATTTCTCTCAACAAAAGTAGAAGGGTAGATGCCAGATTTCCCCCTAGACAGATGAAATAATTTTATGCCTTGAATTGCACATCCTCTCGTTCTTACTAAACAAGTTTTATTTGGTGTTGGAGGACAAAATCCCCTGCCATTTTCATGTTGTACTACAGAGATCTCGAATACTAGCCTTTCTCCCGTCCTTCTGTAGTGCACCTTAGCGCTGAGACTGAGCCAGCTTGTGGGTCGGGCAGGTAGACCCTGCTAGGGACGGAACCTAATGGTGGTAAATCCAAGGGAAATGATCTGATTCACAGCTCTGAGCTCACCGGACAGCAGAGTAATTCGAGTATCATTCTCCTGCTTAGACCATTAGGGGCCTTTCCAAGATCTACTTTAGAGCAAACCCAGTACCTCAGACAGTTGGGGCTTTCACCACTACCATGTCTGGTAGCCCGTTTTCTCAGCATTGTGAGTAGGTAGGTAGCTAGTCACACTTTTCAGACCAATTCAAACTGTCTATGCACAAATTTCCAGTTGGGCCTGGTTAGAGATAATTTTTTCTTCTCAGCTTCAGAAGAAAGAAGGGAAACCAGCTAGGATTCAGTGTAACAGCCAATAATCTGGCATCATAATTATTTAAGCTCAGGTTGGGAGGCTATAAAAGTCTACTTCCCTCCTTATCAAAGAATTGTTCAAAATGGGATTATTAATCCTTTAAATAAAGATTAACTTGGTTTAAAGCCAGATGTGAATTTACTTGGGTTGGTAGCAGAGCAGCAGCACCTTCATTTTGTAAAAATGTAACAATAAGTTTGAATTTATAGGAATCTACCAAGAAGGAGAAAAACTATGGAAAGATTAGTTTGTAAAATTGTTGAGAAGCAGGAAACTTATTTCTCAAGGTTTTTTCCCCTTAGCATGTGATGAGGGTGGTATTTCTATAATTTCCTTAGACTTTCAGATTTACTAATAGGGCTGAGAGAGGCTTTAGTAAGCAAGGAATGTACAGAATTAAACACTATAGGAAGGTGAGGAGAGGAGGCTGAATTTTGTTTCATTGTGAGCAGAGTGGAAAGCCACAGCCAAGCTATTCTCAGAAAACATCCCCAGCATTTTTTTAGTAGAAGGGACATAGCAAAACAGAGTGGGATTAAGGTGGTCTCTCAGTCCTTAACCTATAGTCACTGTATGGAATCAGTCCTGGCAGCTGAAAATAGGAGGTGATTAGAACAAGTACACAAATGATAGTACATATCTGCTTTTTAACTTCCTGGCGTGGGTTTTGTCAAGTACAGTGTGGCCCTCTTCTGAAGCCTTAATTCACGTCAGCAGCTTTTTTGAGGGGTGGGGGGTGTTATATTGTCCTTTACTGTAAGTGTAGCTAGTTGTTGACTCATATCTCAGGTTTTTCTGTTTGAGAAATGGACAGTCCTTTGACTAGGATGTGACTTAATGTTTCCTATGGTGACTGCTAAAACCAGCATAGAATGACATGATTCAAAATTGACTTGATCATGACAATTATCTGCTTCACATAACATAACTGGTCATGCACGGATAATGGTCTATGATATGGGTTTAAAATGAAGGAAGAAAAAGTAAACTGCATAGGGAGTGCATTGTTACCATATTGAAAAAATTCTGTTAAATGATCTGAGTTTTTCTTTGTACATTTAAATTTTGGATGTAATCAGACATTCTCAAGGTTTCACAGTAATTTTTGATGTGTTGTGTAGACACACACCAACACTGCTTTCAGAGTTTGGTCACACTGTTAAACATTTTTAAGAAATGGAAGCAATAGCTTCAATGTTAAATATGTTTCAAGGGAGTTGGGGGACTTGGTTTAGACAAGATATTTGGGAAGAAATTTGCCTTCCATCATTTGAGATTTCTCTTGGCCATGGGTCCCCTTCCTTCCTGTGATGTAGTCATACACTACAGCCTTTAGTCCTTGATTGCTAACGTCAAATAATCAGTTCTTGGAATCAAGACTACCATACTGAAGGGGCAGCCGCAGAGGCAATCCCTGGAGCTGCTTGGGTGTCTCCAGGTGGCATGGTGGCTGGGTCTCTTCAGCGCGTCATTGTAGGGGAAGCCCTGGAATCTACTAGGATGATACAGAATGATGATTTTAAAGAGCAAAACCTAGACTTCTATGTGAGAAATGCTGGAAAATGGTTTAAGACATTTGTAAAGTTAGGTAGAAAGACTGTATAAATGTTTAATATGAATATAGTGTTGTTTTGGAGTAAGGCAAGCTGTTGAATGGTTAAATTGTGCATTTCTCATGATGTGTCATGTGTGTTAATATGATAAAATAAAATCAAAACTGGTACCTGTTTATACATAAATATGAGAAAGGACCTCTCTTTGCATCTATAAACTTGATGGGAACAGCAACGTCCAAGCTGTGAAAGGAGGCAGTAGTGGAACCTATGCTGTTTTTCTCATGTCAAAGAGTAATTAGCTCAAAATGAAATGGTGAGGTAGTCATACATTATGTGCTCTATCATTCACGTGAAACATTGGATTGTTGGCAGTTTCATGCCAGCCTTCATTCTTTAATGTCTATATCATATGCACACTAAGGCCCTTGGTAAATATTTGCTGACTGATTGAATTCAGAACAAATACAGAGTAGGAATTTAAAAGACCAGATACACATTCATGGTACATTTTAACATACGTAAATGGACTTACACTTCTTGCAGGAAAAACTGAGGAGAAATACTGTTCTCCATCCTTGCCATGTACATCTTAATGACCTGCTTATAAATGACACTGGATATGATGACCTATGAGATTAGAAACAGTCTCAGTTTGTTAGTAAAGAATTACATATTAAAGGAATAAAGCATTTACCTTCAGTGCAAGCAGATGCAATGACAGAATCATAGGTGATGTCATTTAAGTTAGTTGTGAAAGGCTTTCTAGTTAAGATTTAAGAAAATTTAACAGCAAGGAGTGTATTGGGTAGGTGATGACAAGAGCTGTCTTGGCCAGGGCCTTGCAGAAGAATGGAGGTGGGTGTGTGACAGAAGAATAAAAGGAGGGCGGAAATAAACCTGTGTGACGATGGAAGGTGGCAGAAGGCAGCAATTGTTTTAGTGAGAGGCTTTGGATAAGAAAGTGGAGATGTCGGGAAGCCCTGAAGTTTAAGCCGGTTACTAGTTTAAGGGCAGACAGATTTGGGGGCCTAGTTTGGGTCTGACAGCTAACATGAGGCCAGGGCTTAGACTGGGGAAATAAAGAGGGTAGACCTGAAGGGTAGGGAGTGCACAGTGAGACTAGTTGATGAAAACTTTTTACCTTTAAAACTTTCACTGCCATTTTATTTTAAATAACTCCTGTCTGGTTTTGTTTTTCTGACTCTAAGTAGGAATGTGTTAGGTCTAGTAGACAAAATTTCTCTAGATGCTTTGCTCTATTACTTTTCCATATCTATAAATGGAAGAGGGAAGTTATTTCTAGCATTCTGTGGGGGCTCATTTATCCTTGTACAGCATAATTATACTGGTTATATCTTTAAAGTGTTGTGAAATCAACTGGAAAATTACAGCATCCTCTTGGAAGATGTTTACAAGTCAATCATTGTTGCAGTTTATGTGCACAGACATCAAATTGGGTTTATGTAAAAACAGAAGTTTCATTCCTTTGGTTCTAACTAAAACACTAGAATCAGTTTGAAATGCTATCCCACAGGATGTGCAGAATGTAAGTAGGATCAGTGTCACAGGCAAACAGGGTAATTACAGTCTGGGTCCTCCCTGGTCGGGAATCACGACAATTTCAAAGCCTGAATTAAAAGTACTTAGTTCATAAAAGCTTTTAGCATAAATCATGCCTCACTATGTAATAAAGGTAGCAGCAGAATATGCCTTGATTAGTAGAATAAAAATTGCATCACTAAATGCTATCAGATTTGATATGTGACACTTAATGACCAAATTGCTAAGAATAATGGATACACACCTGCATACCATGTGAGATATTGGTTATCCTAGTAGCCAACTAGATATAACTGCCAAAAAGGTTAGGAATTTTTGGTTTGAAGCATGTGCATAATTTATCTGGTTGCCCTTCCCTTTTGTAGCCATAACATTTGAAAGCAAGAAATTAAATATTGTTTGTTATAAATGAGTGAACAATGATCTCTCCTCTGGGGCACTATGTAGCTCTTAACAGAGGAACAAAAGGTAGGGGAAAGAAAAGCAAAATTTTTTCTCTCATTATTAAGGAAAGTCTTATACCTAAAAAGTCCACAACAAGAAAAATTTTCACTTCATTCTACACTCTTTAGTATTGACCTTTTAAGTAATTTCCTACTGAGTACTAGGTATCTGGGGTTAGCTGAAGCATAAATTGGGAAGAGAAAATTTTCAATCACTCTAGAATTTAATACGTTTGCTCACAGCTCTCAATTTCTGAAGATGCCTGGTTTTGCCTTGGGACTTGCTAGGGGAAATGCCAAAGCTAAATTCTACAAATCAACACAGAACCAGTGGCAAACATTCCCCTGGGGCCATTAGTTTATGTGATTGGAAATGGCATGTTTGTAACACCTATAATGTACCTTTTTCATAGGTCAGAGGAAAAAACAAATACCTAAGGAATACCTCCCCCTTCGCCACCCCCCCGCGCAAAAAAAAACACAAACATCTCATTTCCTGAGTGCACTCCTATATCTCAGGGTGTGGAGTCCTCAAAACTCATTTAATCAAATACTCTGTCAGAGAATATAAACTAAATTACTAAGAATGATAAAACTGAGAGAAATGAAGACATGAAATCTATAATTACAAAGGTACTCATGAAATCTACATTTTCACTTCCTCTTAACCCACAATTCACATATTGTAAATTTATATACACATAACACAAGGGGTGAAGGCTAGCGTCTACTGGCCTATTTTACTAGTCAAACAAGGAGACTGCAGTATAGGGGCCTGTTTGATGGTGATTATAAATATAGATTAATAAACTGACAAGCAAAATAGGTTCTTAAAAGAAGGGAGCCATGGGACACTTAGTTTACAATTAACGAAAAGAAGGAAAATTCTCCCTTGGGAACTCAGAATTTAAAGTCACTACCAAGACCACTGCTTGGAGACAACAGGTAAAGATGCTTCTCCTCACTGCTAAAGAGCAAAGTATTAGAATTGCAGACTTGGAATCTTAGAGTTGGAAGGGGTTTGAAAGCCCATCCAGACCAGCTCATGCTGTAGGGAGGTGGAAACAGGCTCAGGAAATTTAAATGACTTACCGTAGATTGCCGGGGCTCTTGGACAACTCCAGGCTGCCTCTTCACTCCTGAAACATCCAACAGTAGCCAGACATGTCACTGGGTATTAACCAACAGATCTAGTATAACTGATTCTTAAAATACCAAAATCATTCAGATTCCCAGAATCCATTGGAAAAAGTAAAAATAATTGATGAGGGAAAGAACAGGTAACACCACGTCATCAGAGAACCACTAGAAATGATGTTGAATAAGGGGGCTATTAAAGAGACTGACTTTACGCAATTATAGGAGCTGGTAGAGTCCCGGGTTCAGCTGCCTTCTTTGAACTGAAATCACTGAGCAGATGGTCAGGCAAGCAGCTAGATATGCAGTGGTGAGAGCCATGACAACTGAAGCTTGCAAGCAACAAGATGGAACCAGCATCTGTTTCTCACCAGAACCCAGGCTGGCCTCTTATCTAAGCCTTCATCTTCCCTGCGGCAGATGCCCTGAAGGAGAAGCTAGTGTCATATCTGGCCCAGGATTTGCAAGAGTTGCAGGTAGAGTTCTGTGGGAGCTGGAGAAGCTGTCGGCCCAGGTGCTGCCCAGATCAAATGTGCATAAGATGCAATAGGGCCTGACCAAGGGCAACTTTCGGCGAATAAGCATGGTCATTGCTTTACTTCTGCTAACAAATCTCACACACATTTCTCTTATGGTCAAACCTAGCCAGAAATGAGCAGGGACGGGAATTCTGGGAAACAAAGTTCAGCTTAGCCAAATGGACAACATTGCAAAACCATACACACACATCAGTCCTAGGTGAAGGGAATATGAGTATTCCTGTATTATTTTTTCAACTTTTCTGCCAGTTTGAAATTTTAAAAAATGAAGTTGGAAAAAAATTGTAACGAATAGGTGGGATCTAGTCTAGCCAAATCAGATGTTAAAATGTATTGTGAAATACTAAAACAGTAAGAAAAAAGAAACAGCATGAAACAATATGTAGAGAAAGATCAATGGATTAGAATATAGTCCAGAACTAGATCCTCAATTATATGGAGATCTAATACAGGAAAGAAGGGGTACTGCACATTAATGGAGTAAAGATACATTATTCGATAAATGTTGCTGTCTTCTTTCCATGACATTTCCTAGAATAACCTTAGCTATTTAACAGGTTTCTAAGTTACAGAACATCTTTCTTGATTTGTATTCTAATGAATTGCTCTAGAAATGGTTTAAGGTCCCACTGAACTCCTGACCATCAAAGCACACTATAGAGGCAAACTTTCAACAGTGTGGCCCAACAAAGGTGAAAAGTATAGCTCCCCACTCCCAGTTCACTGCTTGCAACTCCTCCAAAGGCTCCCTCAGACCCCTTCATCTCCTCAGGCTGGATGGCTCTACCCCACCTTACTCATGGGGAAAGAAAGGCATCAGTGCCCAGGAAGCCAGAAATGGTTGCTGAAGGCTGCCCTGAGAAAGGCAGATGCTGTCTTGGCCTCTTCCCTTGGCTATGGTTTCCAACTTGTCTTTCCAGCTCAGAGGGAAAAAACAACCTTGATTTTTTTTTTTTTTGGTCCTTAAAAAATCCTAGCTGTTGTTTTTCTCGTTTGAATTAAAATTTTTTTTTTCCATTTAACTTAGAATGTGCATGTTTCTTCTGTTATCAAGTTGTTTGATGTCCTACATTTTATTCTGAGTTCTGAGAATCTTATGAGATAGCACCTGATTAAAATCCAAGATTTAAAAAATTTAAAAGTTCAAGGAGATAAAATTTACCTGAGATATGCTAAGTTCAATGGGCTCAATTTTAATCTTATAAATGTACCAAAGGCATTTGGACATCAAAAAAAAAAAAATGCCTTTGAGGCTGGGAGAAATAAAGGGAGCACATGGAGACCTGCATGATATCCCTAGCTCCCAGTCTCAATTTCCCAGCCTAGATCTGTTCCTGTGTTCCATTTCTTTGCTTCTTCAGTCTTTTCGTCCATTAGAACATTTATGATGTGCAAAGTGCTGCATGAAGTACTTTTGTGGTTACTCAAATTGGTTCATTTCCTAAACTCCCAAAGAAATTCAGCAGTATTCTGAGTTCACTCCCTTCAGAAAAGAAGGGCAGGGACTCTGTAGCCATTTCTGTATCCCCGGCACAATGTCCGGCACGTCTAATGGGCCCCATAAATGCCAACTGAGTGAGCGCTCTCTGGTCTGCTGTCAAGGCCTGGCCACGCCACAAGTTTACCAGGCAAGTAAAATAAATGCTGACTAAAACCTTGTTACAACAATTGGAGTCCTGCCAGTGTTGATGTAATAAAAAGAAACTTAAACTATGCATCAAGGTAACCAGTTATCAGTGAGAGATGAACTTGATGGGGGTGTAGAAAGGGAGTCTTCGGTTTCCGATGACCACATACGAGGGACAACATACCCTGGCACGCAACAAAAATACCACGGTTTCATCAGGGCGGGAAGAAAGTGCTCCAGATAAAGACGTGCTAGGATGGAAACAGGGCAGGAACAGTAACACACAGACCTAGATTAAATTAGTTCTTTATGTTTACAACCCATAAGCCAAAGAGCCTATTGAGTAAAATTTCCCGAAGGCATCAAGGACACAGGGCTTCTTAAAATATTCCTCTCCTTCTCTCCATATTTTTACTCCACAAACTAGACTAGATAATATACACTCTCAAAATAAAAAGAATTCCCAATGCAGAGCTCTGTAAAGAATTTCTAATAATTCAACTGTTCCAACTTCAGTTATCACTGAGAGTGGATTTGATTCATTATGCAAAGGGAAAAAATATCAAAGAAAGGGGTAGGTAGGGCAGAGTCAGATTTTTCAGGCCACCTGGAAGGCTTTGCATCCCTTCAATCAGCTTCAAGTCACATCATATGACTTTAGTTTCAAATGTCCTCAGGGTCTGGGCGGTCCCAAACTCTGTCCCCACGGAACAACAGCCAGGAGGGGAGAAGCAGCTCTACAGCTTGAGGTCCCGGTCCGGCTTCATGCTAAAGGGCTCTAGCCTCTCGCCCTCCGGCAGCATGCTGTTGAGCCTCTCCATCAGGGGCACAGTCTGGTCTATGCCCATCTGTATGCGGCGGAGGATGGCGGACATTTCGTTGACTTTCTGGATCTGCTCTGCGTATTTGGCGTATCTTTTCTGGCGCTCTTGCATGAAGCTAAAGAGTGTTTCTACTGACAGATCCATCTGTAGGAGGGGAAAAGAAGTGGAATGCATTAAATCTAGTACAAACAAGTCTTCTCAACAGGATCAGGTAATCAGCATGATTGGCAGAAGGTACAGAATCCCACAGGTCAGATGGAAGCTGACTAGCTTTATGGGAAGCACTGGGGGCTAAAAACTAAAGCAAAAACAAACGCTTTATGAATCCAGCTTTATCAATGACGATTCCAGAACCATCTTTCCAGAGATACTAAGAGATGACTGTCTCCAGCTCCATGTTTTGGGAGTGTGAGCCATTTATACCTTGTGGAGACCCGGGGATTTCTATCTCAATCTCTCCACATGAAAGAATCCTGGACTTGGAAATCAGAGAGACTAGAGTTTGAATATGGCTCTGCCGCTTGAGTTGATAATACTTATGTTTCCTGTCCCAGGGTCTTCACAGAAAACAGGGAGCAAATTCCACAGTTGTAGGGTTGCTATGAGGATGAAATGAGAACACACACAAACACGTCTTAGCATGGGACTTGGCATGGCACAGAGGTACTTTAAAATGCATTCTTCATTTCCTCCTCTCTTCCCTGAATGGCTGCAGATGGACAGCTACTCTGGAGAAAAAACTGAAGGGAAAAGGGTGCCAGGACCAAAAATGACAACCAAGGCTCAAATCCATGCCATGTGAGGCAAATTGTGAGGACTGCTTCATGCACCCTCTCCCCCAGTTAAACAAATGTTAGGCTATGGGCGCCCTTTCTGTGACCTCTTTTCTTCCCCTGGTGAAATCTTTTGGAGCCTACCATCTGGATAAAATAGTGGGAGGGAACCTGCAGCGTGTCAGATGCCTGTACCCCACATCCACTTTCTCTCTCTAGTTTCCTCCCTGGACTAAGGAAAAGACAAACTACCAAGACTCACATTCCTATCCACTTCAGCCCTTCCTTCTAGTCTATTCCAGGAGCATCCCTTGCCAACCCAGCATCATGAGAAAGTGCTGGCACTCAACGCATGTCACTACAGAGCCTCTGAAAATGATGTGATCAAGACAAAATGAACAAAAAAACTACACGTTAATACAAGAGACCAAAGCCAGCCCTAAGAAAAAAAATCACCAGTTCTATTTTTATATTGTGTGTGTGGGGAGAGAGGGGTGGGGAGGAGGGGAGGTGTGTTAGAAGAACCTAGTGCTTGTTTTTTCTATGTTGGTTCTTCCCTCCCTTGTTTTAAAATGCCTAGGGGACAAAAAGATGGCTAGTGGGAGAAGGGCTCAGAGAGGAAAAGAAGCCCATCTAAATAGAAAACTCCAAACAATGTGGAGACAGTTTATACCTTGAAAGGGTTCTCTGCAACCCTATTCGGTCATTCAGCACTTTAGAGGTAGTGAGCCAGTAAATTATTGTTCATAGCAGCCAACCACCGGGCCTTTTCAGGTTGGCAATTCAATCCAGCATCTAGAAATACCCCGCCTTCTGAGAGACAGTGGGAGATGCAGGAACCAACTGGAATCTTCCTAAGTACCAGCATGGCTCATTGAACAGCCTCCTCCAGAATTCAGAACCCTTTTGGGTTGTCACATTTCACTTGGCAGGCACATTCCTGTCCCCACCCCACCCCCTCAACTCTACCACATTAGACACCCAAGGAATTTATCTGAAATGGTCTTCAAGGCTCTAACTTACATCTAAAGACCTTGGCATCAATCTTT